CTGTGCTATTGTCCCACTTGACTGTGCTATTGTCACACTTGACTGTGCTATTGTCCCACTTGACTGTGCAATTGTCACACTTGACTGTGCTATTGTCACACTTGACTGTGCTATTGTCCCACTTGACTGTGCTATTGTCCCACTTGACTGTACTATTGTCCTACTTGACTGTGCTATTGTCACACTTGACTGTGCTATTGTCCCACTTGACTGTACTATTGTCCCACTTGACTGTGCTATTGTCACACTTGACTGTGCTATTGTCACACTTGACTGTGCTATAGTCACACTTGACTGTGCTATTGTCCCACTTGACTGTGCTATTGTCACACTTGACAGTGCTATTGTCCCACTTGACTGTGCTATTGTCACACTTGACTGTGCTATTGTCACACTTGACTGTGCTATTGTCCCACTTGACTGTTCTATTGTCCCACTTGACTGTTCTATTGTCCCACTTGACTGTGCTATTGTCCCACTTGACTGTGCTATTGTCACACTTGACTGTGCTATTGTCACACTTGACTGTGCTATTGTCCCACTTGACTGTGCTATTGTCACACTTGACTGTGCTATTGTCACACTTGACTGTGCTATTGTCCCACTTGACTGTGCTATTGTCCCACTTGACTGTGCTATTGTCCCACTTGACTGTGCTATTGTCCCACTTGACTGTGCTATTGTCCCACTTGACTGTGCTATTGTCCCACTTGACTGTGCTATTGTCCCACTTGACTGTGCTATTGTCCCACTTGACTGTGCTATTGTCCCACTTGACTGTGCTATTGTCCCACTTGACTGTGCTATTGTCCCACTTGACTGTGCTATTATTCTGTCGCAGGCTCCTATCTCGTACCAACCAACATAACAAACCCAAACCCGGACACGAAGATCTACTCGAGTGGTCAGTTCTGTGACACCCATGAGAACGTGACGCTACGGGCTGACGGGGGCCTCAACGCTTGTGATTTCCTGGAGTGTTTTGGTAAGTTAGCGTTGCGATTTATTGGAGTGTTTTGGTAAGCTACTTAGCTAACGCAACGCTTTAATAAATTTTATCGCGCCTTATACAAAAAGAACATTAACGACTACCTTTTAGATGTTGTATGTAGCATCAAATTTTTTATATAAAAATTTCAATTTCAATTTAAAACGTCATGTTGTAATGTGTTCACTTTTTGTTCCCTATGTCAGTGATGAACATCACACTCGGCAGTGACAACAACTACAACCCGGATGACCCCAAAGTTTACCGCTCATGTAAGGACGTGGTCAGTAGCCAGCCCAGGCAGTTGGTCAAGCTCTCGACTGGAATCGTGGTCATGTGTGACACACAGACAGACGGCGGGGGCTGGACCATCTTCCAGAGACGTGTTACGGGAGGTGTCATTTTCGAACAGGACTGGAACAACTACAAGTACGGCTTCGGTGACTATAGCAACGGTGATTTCTACCTGGGGAACGAACACCTGTACTGCATGACCTCTAGCAAGAACTACGAAATGATGGTGGATTTCAAATGTACTTCTACGAACTTTAACTATATTTACTCGAGCTTCAAGCTCTCTGACGAGTCCAGTGGCTACAAGCTGTTCGTCACCCCTGACTCAGGAAGTGCTGGCGACTCGCTCTCCACGCTTCACAACAACAAGGCTTTTTACACCTACGACAGGGATCTGCTCCTCAACTTTCCTCCCTTATGTGCCGCCATTAACCGGGGCGGCTGGTGGTACTACGGCCCCTCTTGTATGTCTGGGTACCTCAACGGTCCCTGGGACCGCCTTCTGGTGTGGCCTACCCTCTCCTTCGTGTTCTGTCCCAACCCAGACACCAGTGAAATGAAAATAAGACCAAAGTAGCTCCAGTACGGAGAGAATGTTCCAGATGTTTAGCAAGTGGTGGCAGTTGGGGTGTCTAAAACCCGATTCCCTTTTCATTCCTCGAAAGCAAAAAATATATTTAAATATTATTAGAAAGCATCCCTTAATCATTTTGAACACTTGCTTAAATAGATTATTTTAGATGTATTTTCTAATTCAACTTTTACTATGCTATTGCGGTATCTGTTGTTATTGTACAAAGCGCTACATGCACGCCACAGCATACTTAACATCACATACACAATGATATATTCAAAACATATAACACAATAATGTACAAAACATTTTACACCATTAATATGTTTACAAAACAGTTTACACCATCTTGATATTTACAAATCATTTTACAACAACATTATATTTACAAATCATTTTACACCCTTACTATATTTACAAATTATTTTACACCATCATTATATTTACAAATTATTTTACACCAACAATGTATTTACAAATCATTGGTTCTCATGGCGGCTCATGAGGTAGATGAAATAGAGTGTGGCTGTTTCTATGACCTAGTGAATAAAGGAAAAGTGAGGTCAACACTATGCCAAGCCGCTTGTACTTCCCGTACTTGGGTATCCTTAGAAACGTCCTATGGATTCAAATTCGGAATTCGAACTGAAAACTTTCGTGTTACCAATCGTATGTTTTACCATCCGACCACGACGTCCCATTCCGGTGATATACAGAATGGTACAGGCTCATAACTGTACAAAGCAGGTTTGATAAAGTTTGTTACAGTTACGACAACTTTGTAGGCCCTATACTTTTAGACAATATACTGTATGTGTGGTTAACAGCAAAGTGTAACGATTCTAGTCTTTTGAGTTTTAGTTCGTCTTCACATCCCTACAAGACTAGATTTTGTATGTTAGTTAAAAAGAATAAAAAAAAATATCAAAATAACTATTAAATAACTATTATTAGTGATCGTTTACTATAACACCCGCAAATTTTGAATCTGGTTAAAACATGCAACTTCACTCATCGCTTTCAATTACTTAAAAAATAAAGTAAAATAATGCTGAACATTTTAATTTCTTCGTTTTTTCCGTGTTTAAAATTATATTTTTTATGCTTTGGAGGGGGGAGGGGTCGCAGGTAACATGAAAAGTATATAAAGGGGTCGCCACCTGAAAACGTTTGGGAACCTGTGTCTTAAGGCAATCACTCCCCCCCCCCCCCCCCCACCCCCACCCGTGTCAATATAATGGCAAATAAAAAATTGACTAATTGACGAAGATATTTACAAATTCTTTTACATTCACAATATGAAAGTATTCTTTAAATTACATAAACAATAGTCCGTCGCATGTGTGTAGTCTATTTTTTTTCATCTAACGACATATCTCACATATTACATAAATTAATTAGTATTTAAATCAATTATTTATGTCCCTTATTTCTGTGACAATATTGAAAACTGTTTTCAACAAAATAGTATACAATATACTTGAAAAGTGGTTCCAAATCTATATAATCATTGTAAAAAGCCCCTATGGTCAAAGGTCCGCCACCGTTAAAAAATGCATTGCAATTCTTTTTATTGTAATGGTATCACTATTTTAAGACTGTATTATGCTTACATGTTATATCACTAATGGTTAGCTGTTTGAATATTTCCTGCCTTAAAATGTTTTTATAAAATATTCAGTTTCGGGTGAAAAATATCCTTTCTGGCAATTAGATTTTTGGACCACTATTCGGATAGCACAAATCTTGTAAAACAATGACTTGTGACTACTTTTAAATTTCAAATTATTGTACCTGAATAAAACTCATTGACGATATTGTCTCATTTTTACGTTTCTAAAACTACATGTATGTTAAATGCTTCTGACTCTAGAAATATAAAAAAATAATGTTAGTTAAAGAGATGTATTTTATGAAACTAATACAGTTGCTTTCATGTTTTAGAAATAATTAATCTGACATAAACAAATCAGGACATATTAATTAGAAATGACCACGTTATATACCTGTTTTAGTGTCACATTTCCATAGCAACACTACCCTAAAATGACGGGCATGACAAACCAATAACGGAAGAGAAACCTTCCCCCTATAATTAGCAAACATGTTTCACAGATAAATCAATCTTAATACAGTAGGCTTTTTTATTTTAAAATATAACAATAAAATAAATAGTTTGAAAAATTGTGAGCTTTAAGAAGGTTCATCAGTTAGAATATACATTTAATTATCCGTAAATAATTTTATCAAACTTTGATAATCCCTAATCTGGATATCAACATAAACAACAGATAGATGGTATCATTTTTAATCACATCCACTATTTTAAAACTACGTCACAATGTTGCAATCTTCACACACACACCATCCCCATCACAAACACACATTTTTATGAAGATTACTAATCCGATAACACATAGGAATTCTATGAGGCAGCCCTAATTTTCAAACTTACTTTTTAAATTAATTTAATTATCTTAAATTTCGTGTCAGTTTTTATTTTTACCGGATTTTGACCTACATATTTTGATAAAAATCGGTCCAGTAGATGTCACTGTCCCAATCAGGACGAAGACTAAGCACAAGGAATCAAGTTAAATAAACGCTTGAAAAAAATAACAAAGTGCTGTGTTATTTAAAGTGTCTTTAATGCTCATAAATAACGTTAATTGTCTATAATGAATCATCAAAATAAATCATTTTGAGTGATTTTTAATTACGTATCAAAACTAACCTAATATGATTATCATAATGGTTACAAACACCCAACATTTGCCCATGACTTTATTGCGGCTTTGGCCGTCTGTCCTCGGCCAATTTGTAAACTCGCTGGCAAAGATCCGCTATCATAGGCCGATCAATGTATGGTGGCTAAGGCCATTTTCGATTGGTCGGCCAGTTTCGACATTGGCTGATTTCGGGCTTGGGCAGGGATCGATTGTAGGAGCGTGTAGACATATAACTGTTATTACAAATCTGATATGCCGGCAGTTATGTACACAGTACACTAGTACTCACATAACAGAGAGATAAAGATAAATGTGCAGCTTTCTTGTAGAGATAAGGATTGCAGAAAACATATTGTGTGCAAAAATTGTGAAATTCATTATGAAACAAAACGAGCCATATAAGAAATGTTAATATCTACAAAACTGGTCTAATTTTCATCTCGCAGTTAGCAAGGGTTGACGCCATGGTCAGGGGTGTCCACACCAACCCGCCCAACGTTGGCCCACCGTACTGGCCGTTTAGGTTGGAGGTGCAGCAGTTGATACCGCCGTACCACCAGCCTCCCTTGTTGATGCTGGCACAGTTGGTCATCGGCTGACCGTCGTTGTCTGTTTCCGGTGTGCTGAACTTGTACCCGCTGTGTGACACGGCGAGAGAATCCATGGCAGTTCCTGTGTAGCCGGCGACAGACAGCAGGTAGGCACCAGCCTCGCTGGAGACACTAAAGTTGGAGTACTTGGCGTAGTAGCTTTGTCCACTGAACGTCATGTCTATCCGCAGCTCGTAGTTTCTCTTGGACGTCATGCAGTAGATGTTCTCATTCCCCAGGTAGAACTCTTGCAGGCCGTAGTCCCCGAACCCGTTCTTGTAGTCCGTCCAGTTCCGCTGGAAGTTGATGGTACCGTTTACTCTTTTCTGGATGATGGTCCAGCCGCCCTGGTCAGTGGCTGTGTCGCACATGACAACCACCCCAGACGCCAGTTTGACCACTACCCTGGGCTCGGTGCTGACTACGTCACGACAAGACGTGTACACTTTTTCATCTGTGGGGTCGTAGTTGGTGTTACTCTTGGCCGCCACAGGGGCGATTTCTGAAATATATGATATATATATATATATATATATATATATATATATATATATATATATATATATATATATATATATATATATATATATATATATATATCCAAAAAGACCGTTACACTATCAACTGCTTAAATGCCTACATGACCGTTACCTTGGCAACCCCTTAAATCACAATGCGATATATTCCCGCTACTGTCCAGTGTGATATTGTCCCTTGTGTTACAGAATGGACCGCTAAAGAAAATCTCGGTGTCCACCGGCTGGCTAGTGGCGTTGGTTGGCACCATCCAAGAGCCTGAAAATGTTGGTGTTAAACTTTTTCAACTTTCAACATTATTTTATCAACTCACTCGACAATAATATTCAAGTCATGCAAACAGCTTAACTAAATTATTGTAATACACTCTCTTAAGTTATATGCATATACACAACCAAAGTACTACATATGTCGACTTTAAAAATAAAATGATGCATAACAAAGGGAAACGACTGATTGAAGTTTTATTTCCAAACAGATGGACTCCCCAATAAATTATCTTCTTGACCACTTATCTTGTTGATCTAGAAATATAAGTCAACAGTCCTAGTAACACAGTTTGACGGACCTAGTTACACAGGTCCGCCGAACTAGTAACACAAGGTGACTGACCTACTAACACTATGTAACTGACCTAGTTTACAGAGGTGCGATGAAGGTGAGTATGTAACACCCAGACACGTGATGTTCGAGTTGAGACACTCGCTGGTGCACCCAAAGACCGAGTCGACGCCCTCTCTCTCGGCAAAGTGCAACAGCATCATGGTGCTCACGTTCTGCAGGCTCAAGTTGATCTCACGTCTCGTGTAGGCGCTGGTCGCTGGGAAAATAAATTCTCATTTAATAAACGATTTATTATTGCATTGTCATCGAAGTCACAACAAACAGACATTGTGAGCTAAATAAAAGCTTATACAAAGTTTTCTTTTGACTCCGCTATTTTTCTTTCACGCTATTGTCTGGTTTATAAAAAAAAGCTCAGCTTGCACCATCACCATGGTCTCCCCTGGATAAGCCCCTGGTTGGGGGTGTAGCAAGAGATAAGGTGGTGATTACATTCACTAACATTAATTTTTTACTGGGGATGCTACGAGTGCCAAAGTTATATGACACATATTTTATCGTTTGGCCAGGTTTTCAAATTATACTGCAACCACGCACATTTTCACTTTATGTTGCTTTTGGCTTATACAAGCTTTTATTTAACTTGCTTCCTCTGTCTGTCGTCAGTCGTCAGTCTGTCTGTCAAAATCGAAACGCCCGAGCGAAATTACTGGCACTTCTAACTGACAAATACGGTTCGTAGTTTTTTCGTGGGTCAAGACATGAAGACAATGCAACATGCGATTAAATTTGACTTAATTGATTGTCTAATAATTTTTTTGTGAATTAATTTTTATTTTGTCCAAATTAGTAGGCTGTCACATCAAACTAAAAATAGTGGACAATAAATTATAGACTACTATTTAAATAACTATAAAGAAAAGCGTGGGTCTCTCCCTAAATATTAGTAAAGGTATCCAAAAGGTATTAATGTGACCCCCGCTTTTTTAACAGTTATTTAAAAAAGTAGTGTATAATTTATTTTCTATTTTTTAAGAATTATTACATAAAAGCTTGTTATTAAAACGTTTTTTATGAATTTTTAAAAATTAAATTATATCATACTGCAACAACGCACAATTTCGTATTATGATGTCTTTGTTTTTATAAAAGTTTTCTGAAACAAGGAGCCCATCTTTATTTTTCATTTATCTTTGCTGGTAGATTCTGTGAAACAATGTTTCCAGGTGGTAGAATATTAAAATCAGGGGATGTAACAAATTGTTTTGTGCAGCTGAATAAGGAAACTGTAGCTATCAGTTCGATGAGGTTCTACAGCATACTGGTGGCTTTAGCCTGCTCCACCATTTTATGCTAAAATGTTTCACCAACAAATGCTTGTAAATCTAGCTATACGCGGGCCTAGTATTGGTATGACATCGTCTCTCGCTAACACATACTTTTATATAACTTCACAATATCCCGTAAATCTCACTTTTACCACAACAAATGGATATTTCATTAATTACTTTTGTTTTCCTTAACACACTATATCTTGAACATACCTTTTGATAGAATTAACCATACCTTTTGATAAAGCTCCCAACAAAGTAAGAATGACGATGCACCCGCTTTTCATTTTCAATATGAACTGGCAAAAAAAATATGAAATTTATTTCAAAATTAAGAGTTGCCACACACGGAAAGCCGTTGCAGTAATCTTATTGCTGCAGTTGGTATACAATCTTCAAACCAGTTACTGATCTGACAATAACAAGACTCTCTGCTACGGATGTACTAGCATGGACCACTGCGTGTGACAGGCCCGGCTAATGACAGTTTACAACATAGAGTTAACACATAACAGTTTACAACATAGAGTTAACACACAACATTTTACAACATAGAGTTAACACACAATCTCGCACGTATCTTTCTGCTCGTTAAGTATTGATGATTTCTATAGCAAGCTAAAGATGCTTGCGACGATAGTGTACGCTACTTAGTGGAGCCGATTGTTGGATGAATGTAAAACTGTAAGCCTTACTTTAAAATTCAATTACAGAAGACCTCGACCTTCACTGGGATAGAAGTACTTTTCTCAAGGCTGAAGCAATTAGAAATGCTATAGGCCTAATTAGATATTACGCTAAGGTTTCAACAAAAGCCGTCCGGTAGACGTTTTCAAATTATCGTTCGCAATAATCATCTTGGATTGACAAAGGAATAAAGATAAAAAAATTCTTGTGTTTTTGATTTTTCTTTCTCCCTTCTTTCTTTTCGTGGTTTGTTTTTTTTTTACTTTTTTTTTGTTTGTGTGTGTGTAAAATACTACTTCCGGTCAATCGAAATCACTCAAAATTTGAAAAAAAGCAGTAAAATAGATCCGTGCTCATGTTGAGAGACCAAAAAGGAAAAGCATTTAAGTTATCGTGTTCCCACGGAAATAGCAAAAAAAGTATCAATTCCGATTACCGGAAATCCTTTAAAATTTGATAGGAACCTGAGCAGGTAACACTTGTTTAAATTTTCGTTCCCTTAACTTAAATGGTGCTCAAGTAATTGGCTTTTGAAAACAGAAATTGAGTAAGTACCAAAGCCGGTTATCGGAAATCGCTCAAAATCAGATAGAGAACTACAATTGTGATTATACTAAAATGACAATTTCTTCAGTATAACTGAAATGGAACTCAGTATATTGTGTACTCAGACAGACACTGACAAACAAAAAATAATTGTTAATCTAAGATTTTCCGAGGGGTAAAACGTCAACATTTGTCTAAATTTTGATTTTGATTTTTGCACGATTTCAATACTTTCTCTACCTACCGTATGTGAAAAAGTTAAAATACAGTTCTGATAGGGTTAGTGGACATGTCACAAATGTAGGTATACACCATCCACCCATCGTGCCACGTTTACTACATACCCATCAGCCACCATCAAGTTTTAGCCCACTGAGGCTGTGGGAGTTTCAAAATTGATGCTCAAATAAATACAGACTTATTAAAAAAGAAATATCAAGTTTCGAGTTGAGTAATAATAATTGTGTTATCCTATTCGTTAAAACGTTAAACAAAATCCACGTCTATCGAACAAGAGCGTCGTTGTAGAGGGTATCAACAACTCGCTGACACCTCTAGGTAGCCTCAAACGTTTACTCACACCACAGCCCCTTCCCCTTCCCCCACCCCCACTCCCCTTGTGACGACCCTACTGAAGAATGTATGTGCTGAGAGACTTGCCTGGCGAAGCCGAGAGCAACTCACTCGTGGTACAAGGCCCGTGGGACTCACGTTTCCACCCCCCCCCCCACAAGTACTGTAAATATGCATATCAAAACGTTTGGCCCTGTACACACAGGAAAAAAATATTGAAACTAATGGTAATTAAAGTAAGTTGATATCACGTCTTCTCCGCTAGACCACTAATCACCACATTAATTAACAAACTTACCATCATTAAGCTGTATTTTTTTTAGACCACAGCCCAATGATTTAACAAACTTACCACTTACTTCTACGTCTACCACCCCACAAGCTGGCTAACTCGCCAATGTAAATTGTATTATGCTCCTTATAAATAATCCAAAACCAGCTTGACAGTGTACTGTTACATCAAATAAACGAAAATCCCCAACAAATGAGATTTCTTTTACGATAACCCGCGTACATATTGTACCTTAATTCAACATTTACATAATAATATCCTAAACACGGATCCAAGAAGTGGCACTCTTCTTGTGCTAAAATCGCTTGGCGTAACGATCGAGCAGAAAGGATTTTAGAGACGCTTGAATTCGTGATGAACAACCATGACTAAACATCAGTTTTCTTGCTTACAGCCCTGACGGACGTATTTTAAATTTAGTATAACTAATGCTAGACATGAACTTTGACAAAAACAAAACGTAACCATTGACAACGAGTAGACCCAAGTACTCCCAACCAGCTCAAGGCTACGTACCATCTACTTCATCACGTGACATTCAAAATATCACCTGATCGCAAATAGAACAAAATGTTGGTGTCGTCTCAACATAAACTAACATTATGTAAATTTTTGCACGTCTCTATAAGGTTTCTTAATATTCTCTCGTATGCGATGAAAGCTTTTTCTTATACCAACTGTTTTTACACCTACAATTCTTATTCATGGGCGACACAAGAAACTAATTTCTAGGTACTTATTCTACTTATTCCTACTTTCTCCTACTTATTCTACTTATTCCTACTTACTTCTATTTACTTGAACTTACTCCTGCTTGCTCCTACTTATTCCTACTTACGATTACTTAGGATTACTTATTCCTACCTATTCCTAATTATTCCTACAGTTCTTCACTATTTCATGTTTCTGTTTATCTATGTTTATATATAAATCGTTAAAATATAGCGATGTTTTAGCGAGGTTGAAAACACAAAATTACAGCAAATAGTCAAAAATTATAGCAAACGGTCAAATAATTTGAAATCACCTAGCTACCGTCTGAAATTACCTGTGATCCCCTACCGTTAAGTTGACTGGGTGGTTTATAATTATCAGAAATAATATCGAGTCATTTGACTTTACAAAATATAATTAAATGCAACTAAACAAAAGTTGAATCTCATACAGAAGTTGTATTTTATTAACAGTCGCAAATAAATCTAATGTAAGTTTGTCTAGGTATAATATCTGGTTTGAACGTGATATTCAGTAGTCACCGTGGTAATATCTATTGATCTATCGACTGGTGGTAATCTCTACCGGCTATAAATAAATTCCTGACGTGAAATAAAAAGAATCTATTATTTGTCTACAAGAACACATGTGAAAATTTCTTGACTAACATCTCTACTAGAACTCACGACTTGTTGATGTTTGAAGTATGGACTCCCACAACAGAACGATACTTGAACAAAATCTGGACTTCTACTCGGGGCATGTTTTGACCATGTTGAATTTTATCGTTTCTATCCCGGTATGTTTCGTGGTTTCACTGATTGGCACCACCGCCAACATCTTCAACCTTTTCATCTTTCTCGGCCCCACACATAAGGACAGTCTGTCCATCGGGCTTGTCGCTCTCAGTTTTTCAGATTTGTGTCTGGAATTTCTGGCGATGGTTGGTGCCGTTACTAAATCAATGAGCGCTCTTAACCTTTGCCCTAACGTTGATATGACGTCACTGCTCTACATTATGTCATCTTGCCCAGGTAGCATGTTCTATGACGTCAGTGCTGGGACCGTTGTTCTGATATCTCTGGAGAAATGTGTTTGTGTTTTTAGTCCCTTCAAGGCCAAGCAACTCATCACACGAAAAAGGATGACGGTTGCCGTGACTTTTGTTTACGCTTTTGAATTTTCCACCTACGGTTCCATGTTCTCTAGCACCTACCTGTCCTGGGAGAGTTATCCATTGACCAACTCCACACCCAAGCTTGTCTTGATGACAACTGACAACATACAAACTCTCGCTTTCATTTATACATATGTTAACACTTTATTCTACCTGATGTTTACACAGTTTCTTGTGGCGTGTTGCAGTATAGTATTAATTATAAGCTTGAACCTTTCAAGTAAATTTCGAAACCAGACAAAATGCAGGTCTAAACAGCCAAAAAGCCGAGAGAGGAGAGAAGCCAGGCTGGTCAAGACGGTCCTCTACATCGCTGTCTCCTTCTGTCTCAGCAACCAGTTCCTGATTGTCGTCACCGTCTTGTACCAGTTGGGTGCCAACTTCGGCAGATCGCCGGTCCACTGCTTCTTACTCTCCACATCTGCCATGGTGACAACACTAAACGGTGCCATCAATGTTGTCATTTACTACAAAACTAATTCCAAATATCGGGGTATTCTAAGGAAAATTATTTGTCACGATTGGTCTGGGATAAATTAATGAGATGATGTTAGTAAAAAATCACGTGACTCTAGTTTGTTGTATAAATATTTTTAGTTGTGTCTCAACATGTTGTATTCGGTCACCTCACCTGTTAAAACTAGTTCCGTGTGTCTGACTACACGACACAATAAGGAAGCGTTGAAAATGTGTATATTCACAAACTTTTAAATTCACTAAGTAAAGACAATGATAGAAACTTTTCTTTCTTTACATATAATAGCTTTCGAGTTGGTCATTCACTATCATATCTTCGAAATTAAAATGTATTTTTATTAGCTAATTTTAGTACAAGAATCATCTAAACACGATACCAACTCGACACGATTCGTCTAAACACGATACCAACTCGACACGATTCGTCTAAACACGATACCAACTCGACACGATTCGTCTAAACACGATACCAACTCGACACGATTCGTCTAAACACGATACCAACTCGACACGATTCGTCTAAACACGATACCAACTCGACACGATTCGT